GTCAACTGATTTTTAACAAGGGTGGCAATACCGTTCTACGGAGAAAGAATACAGTCTCTCCAACAAGTGGCACCGGGACAAGTGGATAACCCACATGCAAAAGAATATAGTTGGACCCCCTACCTCACTCTGTATACAAAATGTAAATCAAAATTGATCAATGACTATATATAAGAGCTAATCTATAAATGTAAATCTATAAAACTGTTAGAAGAAAACATGGGGGTATATCTTCATGACCTCAGATTTGGCAATAGATTCTTAAATTTGACACCAAGAGCACCAGGAACAAAAAAAAATAGATAAACTGGACTTTATAAAAATTTTAAACTTTGTGCATCAAATAACATTGTCAAGAAAGTGAAGACACCCTACAGAATGGGAGAAAATATTTGTAGATCATATACCAGACAAGAGTTCCATATCCAGAATATGTATTTAAAAAAAAAAACCCTCTTACAACTCAACAACAAAAAGACAAATAGCTCAATTTAAAAATGAAATAAAGACTTGAAATGACATTTCCAAGAGGATGTACAAATGGAAAATAAGCACATGAAGAGACGTTCAACATCACTGGTCATTAAGGAAATGCAAGTTAAAAACTACAATGAGATACCACTTCACAATGGCTATAATTTAAAAATGGAAAATAAAAAGTGTTGGCGAAGATGTGGAGAAATTGGAAGTCTCCTACATTGCTGGTAGAAATGAAATATGGTGCAGGCACTGTGGTAAACAGTTATGAGTATGTATGTTTGTCTGTGTCCAAATCTCCTCTTTTCATAAGGATACAGTCATATAGGATTAGGGCCCACTCTAATGACCTTATCTTAATTTGATCATCTGCAAAGACCTTTATTTCCAAATAAGGTTACATTCATTGGTAGGACTTCAACATCTTTTCTTTTTTCGGGGGTGGAGAGGGGAGCTAGTGGCACAATTCAACCCATAACAATCTCTAAGCAAGAAGCTGTAACTATGTAACTATATTTTTTAAACCTTTATGTTAGAGTTTCTAAGGACCTGATGGAGTGGGTTGTGGTTTCACCCTCTAACAAAATTGAGGTTCACTGTCTCCTCTAAATGTTAGGGCATCTTCATAAGGATACTACTCAACAAACAGAATGCAGTGGAAGTGACACTACATGACTTTCCAGGCTAAGGTACAAAAGGTGACCGGACTTGTACTTGGCTCTCTCAGGGGACTCCCATGCTTTGAACCCAGCCACCAGGCTGTGTGTGAGGAAGCCCACATTAGCTCATGAGGAAAGGCCACATAGAGAGGCCCACATGGAGAGGAACTGGAGCGCACTGTGCCTGCCCTGTCCAGCTTCCTGATGGTGAACACCATAAATGCTCACTGCGTGTCACTAAGTTTTAGAGCAGCGGTTCTCAACCTTCCTAATGCCGCGACCTCTTAATACAGTTCCTCATGTTGTGGTGACCCCCAACCATAAAATTATTTTTGTTGCTACTCTATAACTATAATTTTTCTACTGTTATGAATCGTAATGTAAATATCTTTTTGTTTTATGATGGTCTTAGGTGACCCCTGTGAAAGGGTCGTTCGACCCCCAAAGGGCTTGTGACCCACAGGTTGAGAACCACTGTTTTAGAGTAATTTGTTACACAGCCATTGATAACCAAACAGTGCTCAAGTAATTTACAACCCAAGGGGGAGACAGAAAGACAAGTAACTAATCTAAGGCAGGATGCGCTAGTTGCTACACAAAATATAAACAAAGCACCTTGGGAGGAACATAAAGCTGTAAGTCCAGCTAGGGGCTGGAGTAGTGGGGGGAAATGGGAAAGGCTGCACAGGAGTAATTTCTGAGCATGAGCCTAAAAGACAGAAATTTGAAGGAAAACAATCACAGCAACAACAACAAGCAGAAGGAAGGTGTGATAGAACTTGGTGGCAAAGTGGTATGTCATATGGACATGTTACTAGAGACAAAAATTCAACTTTTTCTACAAAATCTCTAATAGTATCAAGCAGTATCAAGCTATTTGAAGGACACCAGTAAGAAACATTACTTTAATGAAAAACAAGGTAGAGTTCTAGAGACTGACTTTAATCATATGAAATTGTTTAATTTCTTGCTGGTTAATCTCTATGCAGAGGGCTACCTCTGACCCTAAGAAATGAAAGCTACTTATCAGTGCTTCCTTTGATGTACTGGCCAAGGTAAAAACCGTATTTTGCTTGTTCATTGTTCCAGACCCAATATCAGCTTAATGACAGCAATTCTCCATGGTTAGCATTCCTTTAAATTCTAGAGGTAATTTACAGGGAGGCATTTGTCTTGAATCAAAATGAAAAAAGGCAACGCCTAATGAGAGCCATAAAGCTGAGTAAATTCATAAACTGCTTTAATTGCTGAAATTTACCCCCAGCTTCCCTGATAAGGGCACAAAGACTACGTCTACAGGCATCAGGCTGACAACCTGGGGAATTATTACTCACCAAACCAAATTAAAGCATTAAAGCATTTACCTCTTTAAGCTGCTCAGTACAAGCAGCAGCCTGAAAGCAGTCCCATCAAGCTGCCTGCTCAGCAATGATGAACTCTTCAGTCTGTTTAGGAGACTCACCTTCAATGTGGGAGCCCTCCCACTAAATCAGACTTCCTCTTAAACTGCTCAGGTTAGCAGTCCTTGAAAACCTTGAAACTTTCATTGTGGTTTTTAGTTGCATTTCTCTAATGATTAGTGAGGTTGAGCATTTTTTCATGTGTCTGTTGGCCATCTGTATGTCCTCTTTAGAGAAATGTCTCTTCATGTCCTCTGCCCGTCTTTTAGTTGAGTTGCTTGTTTTTTTGGTGTTGAGTGAATGTTTTATAAATTTTGGATATTAACCCCTTATCAGATATATCACTGACAAATATCTTCTCCCATTCAGTAGGCTGCCTTTTTGTTTTATTGGTGGTTTCCTTTGCTGTGAAAAAACTTTTAAGTTTGATGTAATCCCATATGTTTATTTTTTCTTTTACTTCCCTTGCCCAAGGGGATATCTCAGTAAAAATATTACTGAGGGTAGATGCTTAACCACTGCACTGTACACCTGAAGCTGAAGCTGAATAATATTGTATGTCAACTATAATTTAATATATATATAGTCACAGGATATGGAGTATAGCATAGGGAATAGAGTCAATGGAATTGTAATAGATATATATGATGTCAGAGGGGTAGTAGATTGGGGGAAGGGTGTTATCACTTTGTGAGGGGTGAAATGTCTAACTATTACATTATTTTGTACACCTGAAACTAAAAAACAAAACAAAATAAAACAAAAACAAAATCTGCAACTTTAGGTTTTCTGTTCACTCACCTCATAAAACTTTTTTAAGGAGCCCACCAGGCACAGTTTCAGGCTATCCACAATCTCCTGATGAGGCATCTGGAATACCACTCGTGAATACCATTTTGTGAGGGTGCTGAGGTGGCAGCAGGGGGAGGGGGAGAAAGAGAGAGAGAGATGAACACACACTCATAGAGGAAGGCCCACAGTGTGAATATCAGCACAGACATGCTTCTCTATGCTCCAATCCAACAACAAGTAGTAAATGCATTTACATTACAAGTAAAAACACATGGTGATGTGGGGAAAAGATATATCGGGGGTGCCAAAAAAAAGTGTCTACATGTGGACACTTTGGTCAATGTTGCTCAAGCAGTAGTTTGCTGTAATCAGAAGTGTCTGGATGCTGATGGTAACCACTTGGTGCACCTCTTGTAATTGCAGAAGTCAAACGTGACTTGTATTCATCTTTTGTTATCAGTATATATTGAGTATTACAATTTTAATGCAGTTTTCCTTTCTTAAAATGTGTATACATTTTTTGGCACCTTCTGTATATAAGGCCACATACAGATTGTAAAAATATACGCATAAGTGTCGATGCTTGCTACAAAACTGCTTCCAATTGAAAAAACTGAACAATGTAGACAGCCACCATCAGAGGACAAGTTAAATAGTGCTGTGGCATACAATAAACTCCATACAGCAGTTACAAAGAATTGGTTGAGATTTACCTGCATTGATATGGAAAAAATGTCCAAAATATACAGTTTAAGTACATAAATCAAGCTGAGGCACAGTATACACAGTACCATTCATGTGCCTATGCACAGATACAGCACCTATGTGTGTTAATATATGCATAAAAGAGAATTTCAAAGTATATATACATCAAACCTTAGGTGGTAGCTAATAGAAGATGGACTAGGAGAAACTCAGAATAAAAAATCCCTCACCACCGACAAGACACAGCCCTCATTCTGAAGAAGACTACACTGAAGTTAAGGAACAAACTTACACATGTGACAAGTTTAGTAAACAGATCACACAAACTAATATCATAGGAAGACAAAGAGGAAGGAGTTGAGTATATTTTTATGGGTTATGTAAAAGTTAAGTATACTTTTACTGTAATATGAAATACTCAAAAAAAATTTGGGGTATTTAGAAGATTAAGCATCAAAAAAACGTAACCAAATAAAATGGCACTAGGAGGAGTACTTACAGGTTGATGCTTGCCACGAAGCCAAACACGGAGCGCATGCCTCTGCTGGGGTCGTGGTAAACGTCCATCCCAATTACCATTAACTGCTTCTGCATTAGAAAACAGAACAAAAAAATGAATGAAAAACCCCAAGCAATCCATCACCCCATCTTTAATTATTATCTGAACCCCAAAGCAACATCTGAAAGTAAGTTCTAGGAAAAAAAGAGAAAGATTACAATTAAGCTTAAACATTAGACAAAGTCAGAGATCTAGACCTGGGATCTGCAAACTTTTTCTGTAAAGGACTAAAGAATAAAGGTCTTAGACTTTGTGAGCTACACCATCTCTGTAAGAGCTATTCAATTCTGCCATTACAGCACAAAAGCAGCTACAGATAGTATGCACAGGAGTATGGTATGTTCCAATAAAACTGCACTTAAGGACACTGAAAACTGAATTCACATAATTTTCATGTGATACAAAATATTATTTTGTTTTGTTTCAACCATTAAAAAATGTAAAAAAACTATTCTTAGCACGTGGATGATACAAAACAAGCAATGAACCATTTACACTACTAAGCACTGAGAGCAGGGCTAACTCTACGAGGAAAACAAAGAAAACAGCCAGGCAGGGTTCTCTGGAGAGCTGAACTGAATGAAGACATATCTCAGCATCACTCACCAGAGGAATATCCACTCCCCACAGTTCACCACCCAATTTACAGTTAATTTGAAGTAAAATTTTCTGAGCCACACTCCGAAGCCTGGTGGGCTGACTAATGGTTCGGACATTGATGACCTATAACGAAGGGACCAAAAAGTATGGGTAAAGAGGACACTATCAACCTCTCAGACAATATAAACAATTCAAAGTAAATACTACATTTGTTTAAGAAATTCCAGTTAGCAATTAATATACTTTGCATTAATAGCTCTAATTGTATGGTTTCTAGGCATGCACGTGCACTTGCAAACACACACAAACACACACACACACACACACACCACAAACCAAAATCAAAAAACAACAAAAACTTCCAAAAATCTCATGTAGAGTAAAATTTTTTTTAGCCGTCATAGAAAAAAACAGCTTTCCCCTTTCAGAGTGAAGCCTATACTCTCAGAATCCAGTCACGTGAAACCACCTGGAGACTTGCCCTCTGAACAAGCAGAAGTACTAATTTGGGAACATGAAGGCCGCCTTTATGAAGAGCATCTGCTATTCTCCAAGTTACTCTAATAAGAGGAAGGTTTCGCCAGGAGGGTCTACACATGCTGGCGTCTAATAGATCCTTTAGTCTTCTTGAACACGCATGTACCCCTCTTTTCCAAGCTTCAAGGGGGGCTAGATTCCATTTGTGCATCCTGCCCAGCTCCCACTCACCTGCGAGGGCACTGGAGCCTGCACACAGCACAGTTTTTTAATGGCCGCATAGAGATCGTCGCGGGTGCCCATGATGATGCAAACAACCATCTGTATCTTTCCCTTGAGGAGATAAAGTATATATAAGTCAGGATTTGGAACTCTCAGGGGACTCTGACAAAGTTCCAGTCGGGGGCAGTTTGAGAGTCTGCAAAACCACAGAATCTTTAAGGTAGAAAGGGGGCTGAAGGAAAGAGGGTGGATATTCTAACACAGCAAAAGGTCCTTGACCATGAATGTTGGGCCCAGGGCTTCTCTGCACAGATACATAATAAGTGACCATAAATTACCGAGAGCTGATTTATTTATTAGGAGACTTAAAATGCCTGGAAAAGGATCAGGTTTGAAAATATACAAGGATTACTCATTGCTTGCTGCTTTCAATTCCCTGTAATGTTTTAGTAAACTAAGCACCTATTACATTTCTACCACAGAACTTTAACTGAGGACACATGGAATGCAATACCACAAGAAAGGATTTAGAGCCAAATGCACACGGAAATGAAGCTACTGCCAAATCCACAAGTAGTTCTCTCTGACACTTTGGTTAGGAGAGAGAATGATATGGCCAGCAGCACATCTCATATCAGCACCCTCTTCACTGCTTTAAAGTCCAATATTAAAAACAGAGGACCTTCCAAAGTCTGAATAAAGAAAAGTAGCACTCAAGTGAAATAAAGTTGCCAACGCTTTATACCAGAAACAGCTATAAACAGTAAATCAATAGTATGCAATTCCAAATCAAGATTAGTGTTAGATTAAGAGTTCTCAGAGGACGTTCCAGCAATCACATCAAAGAGCTTCCACAGTCACGTAGACCACAGGCTGTACACTGGGCGTCTATGGGCTGGATCTAGCAAACAGATATGGTTTTGCAGTCCCTACAATGATTTACAGGTTTATTATTATTAACATTTAAACACAGGGAGGTGCACATATACGCAAATCCAGATTTTTGGCTTCTATTAAAAACAAATAATCAATATGACAATGCTGGGCTTTTATCTGCAGTCATGGGGTTTACTCTCTTTAGTTCACTACAGTCCCCTCCTGGCCCACTCCACTCATGTGTGTTACTCAATCTGGCTCCTGTAGACATTTGAGTTTGTGACCCCTACTAAAGAGAATAACAAAACAGAATGCTGTAAAGATTACAGAGAGACAGCAAGACCAATATAAGTCTGGTAAACACTGTAAATGAAACTCATGTCCATGTCCATGCTGCAGGAAAACTGTTGGCAACACTCTCATGAACAGAACATGAGACGTTGTGAAATGGGGGAGTTGGTGTACTAAACTGGGTTGTTCTTTTACAAGCAGAGCAGACTTTATCAATGACCAGGCCCGGGGGGGGGGGGGCGGGGGGAGAGAGGGGGCAATGGCAGAGTATGGTTGTCATGGGAAGTCAGGGGGAAATTACAAAGAGACAGAGAACATGAGTGTGCTGCTATGGATAGATACACCCAGAGCAGTGCGTCCGAGAAAGCTCTGTCAAGATAATCTAATTCTAGTAGTGATCTCACGAGAACTGATCTTCAATTCAAGGACTAATTACTTCCAAAAATGTTCCTCTGCTTTTGTTTCCTCCTTAGTCTTCTTCCTCCATTTTCTTTACAAAGAGATAAGGACTACAGGCCTGAACTACCGAGTTGTGAGTACTATGAACTGCTCAGCTCCAGTGGTCCTGATGGACTATCAGAACCTAGTTGATGGGCCATCTGCCAAGTTCATCACCATAGCAACTTGAATCTCAAGCCAGGCCAGAATGTGACAGCTCAGTACTGAATCGTGCAGGATGGCACCTGGCCCAAGAAGTTGCTTTCTGAGCACGACATGTCCTATATAGATAACAAACTGAAGTTAAGTCAGCTATTCTCTCAGCCAATTACGTGACAAACAGAACACTAGATTGAGTGAGAGTGTCAACACAGAATGAGAGAAGCAAAATTAATCAAAGGGCGTAAAGGGTATTTTCTTAGTTTAGTATTTCATGTGCACATGAGTAACACACAGGTTTCTGAACATCAACAGCAGACTGACAACCAAGGTCATTTAAATCAAGAATTCAAGTATTTTAGAACAGACATCCTATAAACCTACTCAAATTAAATTATTACCTCAGCTCCCAGCATGGACTGAATGGTTCTGACATAGGTCTCTACTCGATCATCCTTTAGTTCAACCCAGGCCGGCGGGCTCATGCGCATCCCAATGGGGCCAGCTATCTTCTCTAACATGTTAACCAGTTCTCGGGCCTGGTCCGTTGCTTTCTTTGGGTAAAACAGTGCCCAGAAATGCATGGGGACCTAGGAACAACCACAAGCTATTTTTAGTACTTCCCACAACTTGAACACCACACACTCACAGCCAGATGTTATTCTAGAAAATAAATTGCTTTTTACTCTTTCTGCTTGATTCTTGTCTTATCTACGTTCTATTAATAACACAGATGTGTGTGATAAGTAAATTGTGGCACAGAATCCCAGACAGCAATAAGAATGGAAGATCTACAACCATATATAATGATATGGGTGAAACTCACCAATACAAGGTTGAAGAAATGAAGCCGAACATACAAGAATGTATACTGTATGGTTTGAAGTGCAAAAACAGTTGAAACGAATCTATGCTTTTAGAAGTAAGCATAGCGGCTATTCTTGGGGTGTGTCAGGGTGAGAGGTAGGCAGTAACTAGGAGCACAGGTGGGGTGCTTCTGGGGCACTGGTCAAGTTTTGTTTCTTAACCCTTGGTATTGATTACACAGGTTATTTTTAACTTGTGAAAATTCATCAAGCTATACACTTAAAAGTGTACTTTTTCTTGAAATATACTTCAAGAAAAAGTTCTAGAAACAGATGTGAGTACTTTATGTATGGCCATAAAGACCAGGTTAATCGAAGACATTGAAAAATAATTATGTAGCATTTTGCTGTTTGGTGCCCTTAGTACGGACCTGTTTTAATTTTGCCTTTCATGAATAACACCTTTCAGAAACTGCCAGGGAAAAAGGAAGAATAAAGGGCGAATGGGTTGTAGGCTGGGACTATATAATTACCATAGCAATTTATTTTCCTTTCCTAAGTCCATGGTCAAGCAGGAGGCTTACCTCTAGCAACTCATCACCTTGCTACGTTTGAAGAACACTGTTTAGTAGATAATTCAGAATGGAAATTCAGCTGGAACTTTCTCTCGAAAAGAGGACATTAAATCATTCCTGCTTCCTAATTTCCACACATTTAGGATTACTGGTCCTCTTTTTACCACCTCAAAAATCACTTACATCCAAATATAGTAGTAATTTATTGAGATTTCTGGAAAAAAAATCACTTACAGTCAAGATGGAAGGGTCTCTGGTTACTTCTTTAATCCAGTTTAGTTCCTGAGATGTGACAAATGAAGTATTTCTTAAGTTAATTCTTTCCATTGGCAGAATACGTCCTTCAATCTAAACAGAAAATAAAGTACCTATGACATGAGCCATCTACATACGCTATTTAGAAAAACACTGATACTGTTCTCTCTGGAGCCTGGTCAGCTCCACTATATAAACTTATCCCTGCTACAATTTCTGAGAATGGCAGAAAAATGAAATGCTAGCAAGTCCATGTCAATGAAACCCTGGACATATACAGGTAAAATTTTTATATACACTGCTCTTTAATTATTGAAGCTTCCAACATGGTCTTCCAAGAAAGGCATTAGAAAACATTGTCTCTTTAGAGCAGAGAATGAATGTAAAACAAGTATAATTTCAAGATGAACAGGAAAATAATCTATAAACATATTTTAAGAGAAAATTGAAAGTAGAAAATTAAAGGTAAAATTTCTTAATAAGGCACAAAGGAAAAGCTGGAAGAAGAAGGCATAATATAATCAAAGAACAAATTAAAGTTAAGAATAACAAATCAATTAGATCTAAATATCCCCAAATAGGAAGGTAACTAGGTTGATGATATGTCATTATGATGGACTATTCTTCAATCATTTCTAACTACATATAATATAATCCTGTTTTTGCACAAAATAAATATCAATGTATGCAGCACAGAAACAATGAGTCCACACTCAGTAGTGATTATCTCTGGGGAAGTGTAATTACGGAGGATTTTTACTTTCTACGACCTCTACTATTTGCTTTTTCAACAAAGTAACAGTTACTTATGTTACCTATAATGAAAAAAATTTTAACGGTTTTCTTAGGGGCCCGCCGAGTGGCTCAGTTGGTTAAGAGCTTGCTCAAGAGTTCGAGCTCTGAGCAACAGCGTTTCAATTCCTAGCCCGAGCTGAGCTGCCAACAGGTAGCAGGATGGCTCAGCTTAAAAAAAACAACAACAAAAAAACGGTTTTCTTAATATGAAAGTCTAACACAATGAATAACAATACCCATATTAGCAAGAGTGTAAGGAATCATACTCATCGAATGCTTATGAAAATAAAAAAAATTACTGACCTTTTCTTGGGAGCAACTGATAACATACCGGGGGTGCCAAAGAAATGTATACAAGTGGACACTTCAGTCAACGTTGCTCAAGCAGCAGTTCGTCATAATCAGAAGTGTCTGGGTGCTGATGGTAACCACTTTGAGCACCTCTTGTAATTGCAGAAGTCAAAGGTGACTTGTATTCATCTTTTGTTATTGGTATATATTGAGTATTACAATTTTAATGCAGTTTTCCTTTCTTAAAATGTGTATACATTTTTTGACACCTCTGTATAATAAAAGTACTAAAAACAAAATGTCCCCTTACCTAATAATTTTACCTCCATAAAGTTGACTATGAAAATAAACAATAACACGTGCAAAGACTTAGTTACAAGAATGCTCACTGAGTCATTATTTATAATAGGGAAATCATAAATTCAATTTTAATGTAAAAAAAATTGTTACTAAAATGAGTATCTGGCAGCCATTAAAATATTTAGAAAAATATTAAATGACATGGAAAAACATTCTAAATATACTGAGGGAACAGAAGGAAGCCATATGAATACATACTATGAGTGTGCACAAGTACACACACAAACGTAACACTGAAGGATATGTAACAAAATGTTAAACAGTGGTTATTTAATATAGCAAGACTATAGATAAACTTTTTCTTTTTGGCTTATGTTTTATACTTCTTGAAATAATATTTAATAACATGAAAACATGTTCAAGGTACAATATTAAATGAAAAAGAATATGCAAAACCATATGTAGTATAATCACAGTTAAGAAAAAGATTTACTCTCACAGAAAAGTTAGGGAAAGAAAATACATTGAAAATCTTTATATGTGTCTAAAATAAATCAGAGATATTATGTTTGGATGATGAGATTACTGATGTCTTTATTTCCTTCTTTACATTTTCTAAAGTTTCCACATTTTCCTTATGGACTATCCAGTATTTTTATTAAAAACGTAAGAAAAAAGGAAAAAAATTTAAACAAGGAGTCAATTCAGAGTGCAAGAGAACTAAAGAAAAGACAATTATTTTGGGATAACCTCAAAGGAAAGGTGAAAAGTACCAATAGCTAGTATTTACTGAGCACTTGTTATGTGTCAGATGCTATGCTAAAGATTTCACCAATCTCTTAATCATTATCCTCATTTTACAGATAAATTAAGAGATACTAAGCAAGTTGTTCAAAGTAACCAAGATGGCAAGTGTTAGAACGAAGATTTAAAGCCAAATAAGTTGTCACCAAGGCCCAGGACGTTGCCACTGACCACATGCTGCCTCTGCATGTGATCAGGCCACAGAAATACATACAACACAGGACTCAGCAAACCGCAGGCAGAAGGGCCACAAGAAAACTAGATCGTACAAGTCTGAGACTATGTCTACGGGAAGAATGACAGTAGTATATTCAAAGAAATACAAGTTAATTATTGGGAATGGAAAAGAAAACTTGGAAAAAAAGAAAAAGACATATAAAACTTTAATAATTTGGGTTGGAAAACTGAAATGAGATAAATTTTAAGTCAATATTCCTTTTGCTATCTATTTCACTGGAAATTAATAGCTCATATCCCTGGGAAATACAGAGGAAAGATCTGTAAGAGATACTAGGCAAATTAAGTCAACAAAATTCAAGTGTTATGACTAGGAACCAAAAGAAGTATAATAATAAAGCAAAAACGTCAAAATAAAGACAAGATAGAAAGTTACTGCAGTCTCACACAGCTCTAAAATCGTTGGTTAATGCTGTCTTCCTACCCTATCACATCTTCTGGGTTACCTTATGTACATCCTTTTGCAGAGAGAGTCCCCAGCGTGTTAATTCATTGTTGGCTATCTCATTCTTTGCAATTTTCTGTAGCAAGAATTCCAAAGAACTATGGTGCTGTTTGGGGCTCAGGTTGATCTGCTGGGTCAAATCCTAAACAAAATTAAAATGGAGACAATAAGTTATAAGTAGTACATTCTCCAATATGAGATTAAATAAGCCCCAATGTGTCTAAAATGTTTCTATAAGAAACCCCGTTGTCACTGAAAATCTGTAGAAATTTTCAAATATCTCTGAAGACTTTAATAAGTATCTCTCAGGAATGTGAATGAGGTGTAAGGTTAAAATTTTAATCATAAAAGAATTTTAAATGTTATTGTTTCTTCCTCATAATGTCTAAATCTTATCTCTTTCTCAAAGTCATGTTCTGAATTTTTAAATTTATTTCTAAGAAATTCTACGAAACAGAAGCAAAGGGGGCTTGATTATACCTATTTAATATTTTGAAAAAACGTCCTGTGCCAGGCACATAGCCAAACATAACAGAATGAAAAACCACATCCAGTCTTATACTTTGTCACACTATACTACCCATTTAATGTCATCATAAGGCATATTTTTTTAGTCCAGTGGTTAGCCCATAATAGTTGCTTTCTAAATATTTATTGCGGAATGAGTATCTCACAAGTGTGTACGAAGATTCTGAATCACTTAAGTGAGTTCTTTCTTCTTCTTGCACAAATGAATTATACAGCTGTTGTTAAAGGTAGTCATTAGGCTCCGTAAGTCTATGGAGCTATACAGATAGCTCTGTGATCATAAAGTCATTGGGCAACTGGGAGTTGTAAGGAAGGACCCTTGACACACATATTAAAATGAGACGTATCAGAAGGTAAACAGGAAAGAAATCTCTTACAGGAATTTTGAGTGTCACTTTACGCTCTTTATTATGTTACAAAACATAATATGTGGTATCTGAGACAAGCATGGTCCAAGGATTTGGGACATGAAGCAACAGAGTATTTGCAGTGTGGAAAGCCCCAGGAGCTGCAGTGTGGAGGTGAAGCGCTCAGGGTCTGGACTCATCTCATGTTTCTCAGCTATTTCCTATGGGAACTGAGCCTAACACTTCCAGGACATCCCAAGTCCCACATGATAAACTATCCTTTACCTCATCAGGCTCTGACCTGTTGACTTTTTGTTACATTATCTTCTCCACCCCTTCAAATAAACTGAAGGCTTGTAAAAAAATATTTAAAATATTCAGTGCTCTCAGAGAATCTCATTTATGATCAAATGGCCAGTTTACAGTTATCCATTTGATTGGTGAGGGTGAAGACAAAATTGTTTCCTTGTACCTTATAATTCAGTCACTCTGCTGTTCTAATAACCTTCAAAAGGAAGTTCTGATCAGCTCTCTCAGTGTGTGGGAAGGGACATGGATCAGGCTTTACAGAAAGGAAAACTGGAGCTTGGAAGAGCGCATCTGCCTGGGTAAAGATGCAAGCCTGGCCAGGTTCTAGCTCCATTTGCTACTGGAAAGGTCTCCTGCTCAGAGCAGGCATTTCTCACCTTCATGGCTCTGAAGTCTTTCTTCATCTTCTCAGGGATCCCAGTCATGAAGGAAAGCTCAGGCAGAAGCAGGATTTCACCTTTTAGCAGCTTTGAAGAAAGAGCAGAGAGGAAAACAAGACACTGAAAGAAGATCCTGTTCCCCTGACCCGTCCAGGACATGCCATGCTCAGGGCTGGCAAACTAAGGAATATAAAACCCCAGAGAAGAGAGCAGTGAAACAAGTATTTTACCCTTTCCCCTTCAGTCACAATACTTATAGCTGTTGTATTAGGTAAAGGAAAAAAATACTGAAACTGTCAAAAGGCTAGAAAGAACTAGGAAAAAAAAAATTCTGTCCCTTTTGGGTCTCCAGACAAGCTACGACAATACATCCTATCAAGCTGATGCATCTATCTCATTTTAGCCTGTCAATCTTCAGGCTTACACTTATTAAGACAGAAGAGTCAGGTGTCAAGGCACTCCCTGCCCTCCCCCCCCCACCCCGCTCCTAGCACCTTCTAAAATGTCTAAAACTTTCCTAATGGATCTAGTGTTTTAATCTTTAGCAGCACATTCTCCTGATTCCTTAACCTAACTCGCTCATGTGCACATTTAGCCCCTCATTATGGGGACTTCAAAAGGAAATCCTACAGTGTGAGGTGGCACCTCTGACCAGATGACCCAGACAAAACTCTGCACAGCTTTCCCCAACCACACTGTAGTCACTGCTCCTCGGCTCCTAGCGCTGTGAAGAAGGCCAAGAGCGGCTGATGGACATCCCCCACTCACCATCCCCTGGTTATTCTGTCTCTCACTGGGTCTGTGGATCAGAAGTGGCTGGTCTTCTTCCTTAACTGTTATCCCATAGTTTTTGCTACAGCAGGGCAGAGGTAGGAAAAAATTTCAGAAGCTGCATCACTACTCTTACAGCAACATAGTCTGAGTCTCTTCACCAGGACTAGAGGTACAAATTTGCATAGTCCTTTTATCAAGGGTCCATCGGAAATGCATCATAGCATAATTATAACTGGGAAAACAGGCTCAAATTACTTTGTAATTAAATAGAGGAGAAATAGGCTAAAAGTCCAGGAAGGGCTCTGTTTAAACTGCATCAGGCTAAAGGGCTTAGGCAACTAGAAAGGAAAATACTATGTTAAATGATGAATGACTTGCATTAAATCTCTCCAAGCAGACTTCTAACCAAATCAGCAAAGGAAATACAATTCAAAGCCCTGAGATTAATTTATAAAGTAACTGCCAAAAGTACTGAAAGAAATGAAACTGTAAGGGTGACATATTCAGGTTCAAGCCTGCAAAGGAGCTCATTCAATCTTAGGCACATTACCAATCGAGTTATTTAAAGTGTCCAATTGTCCCATGCCACTATGGAACTCAATATCCTGCTAGAGCATTGTAGACTACAACCTACCCCCACCTGTAGGCGCAAGCCCAGTCTCTTTTCTCTACCTGTAGTATTCCAAGAATGTGATCTCCTTCCCATCAGACATTGTGAAGCTATCTTTTGGAGTCTTATTCCAATCCACATCATCAATACGATAGGTACGATTGTTGTATCGGGTTATGACAATATTGCCAATCAGAACCTTAGTGCACTCATCCTGGAAGTTTTCTTTGTTCTGCTGATATATCGCATGCCTTTGGAAAGAAACAAAAGACTTCTGGATCACATTTGTATACGCTGAGCAATACGAAAAGGATCGGTGATGCAAATAAGTATTTTACGGGTAAAATCACAGTTATTAATATAAAGCACCAAAGGCTCCAGATGTCTCTTTTAAGAGATAGGACTCTCATCTCTTTTTAACATTACCAAAAATAATAATAATAATAATAATAATAATAAAATAATGAAAGGATAAAAATCAAATTGAAAATAGCAACTACAAATTAATAAAATTCACTGTATTCCTTAAAAGAAGGGACTTTAGTCACCAAAATAATTACTTTTTTGTGTAATCATTGTTAGGATATAGCCCAGAGAGGGACAATAAAACATTCTTTCAACTATCTTTGCTCTTTCTAGCTGAAAAAAGGAACTACAGTACCTATCAGAAGGCAGCCATGGTGAAGATGCTAAAGATGCAGAGATGAAAAGGCTCACCATATACAAATACACCCTTGTGGTCACCTAACGATGCCATGAACAAGGCAACACAGAAAACTCACAGAAAAACCATGTTTGAATATGCTCAGGGCGTCAAGGAAAATTTAGAGGCAGCTGACACCTGAACGGGCAGTCTGCCAGGCAGAAACGCCAAGGCAGGGGAATGAGTGACTCTAGCAGCGGCAACGGGCAGTACACAGGGAGCCATCCGGGATCTGGGACTGGGGAGGCGAGTAGGTGAAAAGAGGAACAGAAGATGGTACGTGTAGGCTGAAGACAGGCAGGGGACAGATATGAATTCCCTTGTAAGTCGAGGATCAGAGCTTGGACTTTTTTCTGTGGGCCAGTGTCACCAGGGTATATTCCTCAGGAACACTGGTCCCTTGAGAGGTCATGAGCAGGTGAAGAAGGTTCCATAATCAAGAAAGCTAAGTTCATTCTACATATTATAACCCCTTCTTAGAGACTCACAACATACATTACCAGATCAG